TTGCATTCGTTTTTAATCAAAGCTTAACTGTTATTGAGACAATCGTTGAAAATCGCAAAACACGAGGAAATTTAGTAACTAGTATAGATCAGTTCAGTTTTGCATTAAAAACTAGTTCACTATAAGCCGGTTTCCTACATCTACCAGTTAAGTGTTCAAATATTTTTTTAAAATTCATTTCGCACACACAAACAATTACAATGCATTACGAAACAACACGTTTGAATTTACCCAGGAAGGCTTTGCCCGATGGCTCTGAATGAGACTTGTCATCCAGCAAGCCGATCCTAAGTGGTATCGGCCAAGGATATTAGCAAGTTCTGCAAAGGTCCTATTCTGTTTTATTCGATCGCTAATGAAAGCATGCAAAGTATTATTTTAAGCATTCCGTATTTTGATTTTACCATATGTATTTCTTGTTGTTTCTCTTAGGAGTGGCATCAAGAAAGTTATTCAACTTCTACTTCAGCTAAGATCTATGGACAAAGCTAGGCTAGTAGCGGTAGAACATAACATGGACGAACTTGTGAAAGACCTTTGATATCTCCTGAGGTCATTCATGCCTGAAACTGCGTTGTGCCATGAACCCGTCAGCAGCTGTGTATGGGCCGATGATCGTTTTAAGCATTCTTTTTCCAAGGACTTTTTTCATCATAATTGCATGTTTTTCATTTTGACACGTATGACCAAAAATACATGCAATGTTGGACAATGTTAGTGGCTGCTATCATGAACTAAAGGTTGCCGAGAAAATTTCAAAAAGGGATGTAAAATTCACAAATGTCTTGGTAAAATCATCAGGCACTGGCGGAAGACTATTTTCCTCAATTTCTAAAAAGGAGTGACTGTTGATTACTTCTATGGCGGAATTTAGCAAAAACTCCCCTTTTGTAGAAAATAATAATAAAAATAATAAACAAGCTAACATTACCAAAATTTCGAATAATTACGACTTGCACTTGACAGTTCACATTTTTATGAAATACTTCCTTTGAAACTGAAAAAGTGAAAATGTCGATGCTCGCGATGTCCAAGGTAACATAAACACTTACTCGAGTTTGACTTTACTTGATGGTGAAGTGGTTAAGTTGCCAACAGATAGCATTCTTCACGAGGGAGGTTGTTGAGAAGTTTTTGCTCTGGTGCATGATCGACTCGGATGATAGTTAGAAGTGCGCAAACACTTTTGTAAATAAACTCTTTATTGACTAAAAGAATATTTATTCCAGATCATTACTTGTGCTCTTGTTTCATAATTCCTCCGGATACAAAGTGCTGTCAATTGTAAATTAAATAGTTAGACTACTTGAAACATTTAAAGGGTTCTTTAAGAATTCATTAAAGTTCGTTCCTGGCTTTCGGTATCGTCAGAAACTCATAAGGGGTTGACAACCCCTTGTGGGATTCTGGTATTGTGCGGAAAAACGCTCTCTATCTTCGAGTGCCCCATAATACCCTCTGTCCCC